GCCCCGGGGCGGAGGCCGGGGCGGGACCCGCGCTGCGATCGGCGCCGGGTTTCTCGGCTTCCACCCGGATTCTCCCTCGGCTCTCCCGGCCGATTCGGTGCTGCTCGGCGACCACGTGACGCCGGCTGCCTTTGACCCCGGTCTCGGAGCGGGTAGGGGGCGGGGGCCGAAGGGGGTGTCAGAGGCGAGACCCGCGAGGACCCCGCGCAGCAGCCTAGGGCCCTGGGGGCGATGACCCCGGGAAACAAAGCCCGGGGGAAACCAACAAGTTATTCGGGGTCAGAGAGGGAACAGCGCTGGGGGTCGGAAGAGGCAGCAGAGAGAAGGAAGGGACAAAGACCCGCTCCCGCCGCGCCTCCGAGGGCCCGAAAGCCCAAGAGCACCCAGGCCAGGCCCGCGGGGCTTCCCTGCGCCGCCGCCGCTGGGCTGGCGACAGCTGTCCAGGGCCTCCTCGGACAGCTCCCTCCGGACAACGCGGTCTCCGCCAGAGTGACACCCCACCCCCAGGACCTCCCCCAGCACACGCCCTGCCCTCTGCCCAAACCCCTGCATGTCTTTATCGGGGTTATCCTGCTCCCGAACTGACTGGCTCATTGTTCTCCAGAATGTCATCTCCCCCAACAAGTTGTTCCCAGCTGAACCCTCTGCCTGCCAGCTAACAGGCGGATGAAAGGTGGATGACCTTGTGCCAATTTCTTTTCCCTCGGTGCCCGTTTCCCACCCCCACTGGCATCCCATCCACCACAAGGGCCCTGCATGTCAGGCAAGGTATCCCCAGTAAGCAGATGGGAACGCTGAGGCCCAGAGAAAGGAGAGGACTTCTGCAAGTCATGTGTAGCCAAGACCCAGCTCAGGCCTTCCTGTAAGATGGGGGACCAGCCTGGAAGATGGGGGCGTTGGTTGTGAATCCTTTAAGGAAGTTATTTTATTAATGATACTGTTTGCCAGGCCCCTCCCCTGGAGATCCTGCTTCTGCGGGTCTGGAGGTGGCCCGAGGCAAATTTGGAAAACTGGATTACTGGATTATTAGGACCTTCAGCAGCTCAAGATTATTAACCTCAGGAATAAAACTCCAAAACTCTCAGAGAAATCAGAGCAATCAGAGCAAAGCACAAGCGCATGAAGAACCAAGCTGGCCATGTAAGGATTGGACAGACCCATTGTTTCCCCCAAGGTAACCCCTTGTGCTGGGGAAAGGGGCTTCCTATCGGCCTACTCCTGTCTCCTGAGCGGAAAGATGTTGTGGTTAAACACAGACACATCCTGGGAGATGGGGCCAGGCTTCTGCTTCCCATGGGTGCCCATGGGACACCTTAGGGTGCGGTAGCACAATCAGCTACGGCTGAGAAAATAGCACAGACTAGCAGATCCTCGATCTGGTTCCTGTGGCAGACAATCCAAAGTCCCTGCAGATGGCCTGGGTCTTGGGCACAGTAAGCAAGCCCCTTAGAAGGTCGCCGTGCCTGCGTGCAGCCCTGTGCACCTCTCCTTCTGACGAGAGGGGCAGGGTTGGGAGGCACAGGGTGTGCACTCTTGAGCTGTTTGGGATGACCTGCACGTCCTTCCTCATAGCCTGCTGGCACAGTGAGGGCAGGTGCGATGGCCCGAGGGAGGGCAGCCTGTGAGGAGGGGGGCGGCTCCGAGCAGGGCCAGGGAGAAGAGATGGGAGGTAGGCAGGCCCTGCACAAGGCACACCTGTGCCAAGGCAAACCTGAGTGTTGCCGAGGAGTGGACGGAGCAAGCAAGAAGCAAGTGTGAGCAGGAGGCCTGGCAGGGCAGCGGACGCTGAGAGAGGCTGTGTGCAGTGCCACAGGGAAGGCAGTGAGCAGCCCTGTGTGCGCCCCGGGCACCGTGAAGGTGTGTCCCCCTTGAGTTGGGGGCAGCCTGCGAGTTGGAGTGACTCTGTGTCCCTCACAGCCTCTCCCCCTCCTCCCCAGTCGTCAGCGGTGCTGCTTGCTGAGCTGGGCCAAAGCCTTCCAGCTGGCTGTCCCCCAGGTCCACAAGGCAGGTGGGGGACTCCGGGGACTCTCCGAGAGCTGCCCTCCTCAGGCCCAGTGACCCTCCTGCACGCTGGACAGCTTCCTCAGATCCTCCCAAGCCAGCGCCAGGTCAGGTCACAGGTTGACCTCACTGCGCCTGGCCCCGTGCGCGTACCCCATCCCCAGGTCTAGTCAGGGCCCACATCCTACCTGAAAGCTGGTCCCACTGCTCCTGCCTCTGGGTTTGTTTGTTTTGTTTTTTGAGACGGAGTCTCACTATGTAGCCCAGGCTGGCCTTACACTCCTGGCAGTCCTCCTGCCTCAGCATCCTGAGTGCTGGATTATAGGTATGTGCCACTGCACCCAGCTTCAGTTTTTTCTTTTCTCCCACCCAACCCCATCCCACCCTCCTCATCACTGCCCCCAGCCCAGGCCTCCCATCATCTCTGCCTTGATCCATGTGGATGACATCTTCCCTTCACCCCTAGCCCCGGCTTTAATGCAGCCTGGTGGTGCCCTTTCCTATTGAAAACCACCAGCAGCTCCCTCTCCCGGGATAAAAGCTCTGCCATGGCATCCAGCTCCACTTTGGGGTCCATACCCCACTTTCCCCTTCAACTGACCAGTGCCTTGTTAAGGGTCTGGATTCAATCCAGATTTCCTGGGTTTGAATCCTGGCTCTGCCACATTTAAATTACATGAACTTGATCTGTTTTTCTATTTCCGTGCTGTTTCTCATCTCTAAAGTTTGGGTAAAAGCTGGAGTAGTGGCTCTCCCTATAATCCCAGCCCTCCTCAGGAGGTAGAAGGATCACCACGAGTTCAAGTCCAGCCTAAACTACACAGTGAGACCCAGTATCAACAAATAAATAACAAATAATCTGTATAATAACAGCATATGCTTCCAAGGGCTGCTTGTAAAAATTAAGTGAGCGACCTATGGAAAACCCTTAGTGGTATCTGTCACGTGGAAGCACCATATAAAAGCTCACTGAATGATTCACTGGGACCGTGTAGGTTCCAGGTTAAACTTCATTTCCTCCCAGGCCTTCCTGAACCGCCTAACTCAGGCCATGTTCCTGGTACACACAGCCTCTGTCCTCAGCACCTGCCAGGGTCCTTGTCGGTGGACTGAGTTTGTCTCTGACACGCCTGACCCCATGTCCCATGCAGCACCAGCGCATCGCACACGGCAACCTGCGCATCTTGGCTGGCTGCGAGATGGAAGGAGACTGAGCAGATTTGTCACAGAACAGAGCACACTGCCTACCGCTTCACGCATTCACTCGCTTGACACTGATTGGTGAGCACCTTTTCTAGAATCTTCCTCCCGCCATCCTGCTGGGAGGAGGTGGAGATACAGGGATGAACAAGCCAAACGTTGCCCCTGTCCTCAGCAATATCCTGTGCAGTCTGCTCCAGACACACTTCTAAATCCATAGGAAGATGGAATATCATGTAACCATGCTTTTTTAGGTTTCTGGGGTTTTGTTTTGTTTGAGACAGGGTCTCACTGTGTAGCCTAGGCTGGCCCAGAACTCACGGCGATCCTCCTGCCTCAGCCTCCTGAGTGCTAGGATTACAGACGTGGGCCACCATGCCCACCCCCAACCATGCAATTGTTATGATTTATAGTGATTTCCTTACCCAGGAAGCTAGGGGCTTTGGAACAATGAAATAATGAAAGTGAAAAATAACTTTAAAAAATATGCCCTATGCCTTTAGCCAGTAGAGCAGGCAAGAACAAGAGTAGATCCTGTTCTAAGCTTATTAGGTCAGTTCCTTTTTCCTCCAGGTGAACCTCCTAGTCAGCCCTCAAAGCCCTGTGTAGGCAGCACTAGGAAACCTTGCTGTTCTGGTTAGAGACCTGCAGGGGCCCCAGTCACAGCTCTAGTGATTTTCTGGGAATAAAGAGGGATTTGTCAAGGATAATCTAAATTTCTTTTTTTTTTTAAACAAGGTCTCACTGTGTAGTTCAGACTAGCCTTGAACTCACTATGTAGCCCAGACTGGCCTCAAACTCATGGCAGTCCTCTTGCCTTGGCCTCCTGAGTGCTGGGATGACAGGTGTGTGCCACCACACCCAACTAAGGATAATCCAAATTTCAGGGGGCTGGGGATTTAGCTCAGCGGCACAGCGCCTGCCTGGCAAGCTCGAGGTCATGAGTTCAATTCCCGGTAACAGAAACAAAACAAAACAAAACAAGAAAAACAAAACCAAATTTCATGTCATTTATTTCTTTCTAAAGATAAAAGGTGATACAATGAATGTATAACTACATCTGGTTTCATGTTAGGACTTCAGTGGGGGCCGAAAATAACCTCTGTGTGCCCATGTGACCTGATTTGTGGTTTGGAGAACACGGTCACCATAATTACAGCACTGACCACACAGTGTAGCCATTTCCTCCTTTCCTCTCCTTTTACACACGCATGTGCACGCTCACGCACAGCACAAGCTTTTCAAAAGACAAGGACTCCACTTCCCAGCAGACTTGGACGCGTTAAACAAATAAGATAATCTGTAAAATGGGCAGGCACCCAGGCTTCAGATGGACAATGGACAGAAGCTGTTCTGGAAACCAAACACTCCTGGAGATGGAACCCCAGGAAAATCAGCAGCCGTGAATGGCAGCTTGCTCTGGTGCCTGCACTCGCTGTCTTATGTTTGTGATCCCAGTCAACCAGTCAGGTGGCTCAGAGATGTGAAGCAACTCCCCCAAGAGCACACAGGCAGAAATCCAGGTCTATTCTACAAAGAGACTGCATTCCTGTCGCCAGCTTCCCTGCCTCTGGACTCCGGGGGCATAGGGAGGGCCTCCAAATCAAGATGCCCCGGCTTGGCGTTTCCTTGCCCCACTGCTACAGGGTTCCCTGTGACACACACTGTCACCGGTGATGCTGCTCTTTGAAGAGCTTATCGAGCCAGTGCCCAGCACAGGCCCACCTGGCGGCCGGGTTTCCGGTCAGGCAGAACCGAAAGACGCAGGCCCGGTATTCCCTTCCCCACGGCCAGCACAGTCCCTTTCATATATAGCAGGTTTTTCAAAGACAAGATCTTGCCATGTATTTCAGGCTGGGCTTGAACTCACTATGCAGCCCAGTCTGGCCTCAAACTCATGGTGATCCTCCTGCCTCAGCCTCCTGAGTGGTGTGCTGGGATTACAGGCATACATCAATATACCCTGCTATTTTTCTGGCTTTTAAAAGCACCATCTTGCTTTTACACCAACTCTGGACAGCCCCACAGCACAGCCCTAAGAGGCAGACACATTGGAGAGTTTACAGAGGAGGAAACGGTGGTTTGGCCACCCTGCAGGGGAGCCAAGCAGCAAAGAAAGGAAGGTCTTGAGGTCCGGCCCAGGGCTTTCAAGTCCCTGGAGCAAGGTTTCCTTGGACTTAGATAACTGAGAAGGTGGGTGAAAGATCTTCAGACTCCTCACAGAGGCGATAAGGGCTCTGCAAACAAACGTAGTTAATTTACCCTTTCACTGTGTGCACTGCCTTGGGCATCACAGGCAGGGAAAACACCCCCAGCCCTGCTGGTTTGCAGTAAACCGTGAACACTAGAGGCTCAAAGTACCCTGTGGGCAGGGCCGGGCCGGGCCAGGCGGAGGCAGCAGTGGAAGGCCAGGGCAGCCTGTGCTGTCCACTTCCCTCCCTGCCCACCACTCCATACACAGTCCCCCCTCTTTTTTCGGTGCTGGGAATTGGGCCCAGAGCCGTCACACAAAACTGTTCAGGCTTAGCTTAAATTTGCAGTCTTCCTGCCTCAGCCTCTCAGAGTGTTAGAATTACAGGTCTGCACTAGCATGCCCAGCTTGTCTTTTACTAGTGATTAAACACAAAGTTGTGGTGGTGCCTGGCTGTAATCCCAGCACTGGGAGGCTGTGGGAGGATCACTGCAGGTTCTAGGCCAGCATGGGCTAAACAGTGAGTTCTAGGCCAGCCTGAATTACATAGCAAGACCCAGTCTCAAAAACGTAACAAAACCCAAGGCCTCAGGCATTGCAGCAAGCAGGCACTCCACCACCGAGCCACAGCCCTACTTTGTTCCATGTCTGCATTGTTCTCCTGACTCTGCTGGCACCCGAGTTTGATTCCAGAACTAGTCAAATTAGTCCAATTCTCCTTCCTTACAGAAAATTGAGAAACTGAGGCCCAGGGAGAACAGGGAGCTAAACCCGGACCAAGGAGGCTCGGGGCTGTTCACTCTCTGGTTCTTCAGCTGAGAAGTGGGGAAGTGGGGAGTGGGGAGTATCCCCCACTGCAAGACACAGGTCCGGGCGGTCAGGTCTAGACCCAGGGCTGGTCCTCAGCTAGGGGAGGGTATGGGAAGAGCAGGACGGACCATGAGGGGAAGGAAGCTGGCCTGTTGACGGGCACAGTGGCCAGCCCGCATCTGCGGCTATCTGCTCCAACAGGCATGGAAATTCTTCCCATTCCAAGGCCCTGCCTCCACTCCGGCCTGTCTGGGCTGGATCTGCCCTGGGATGAGCTGGGACTGAAGGAGAGAGGAGGGAAGGAAGCGACACAACTCACAACCACGCTCGCTCACCCTCCCCCGCCACCTCCTTCTCTCCAAAGCTTGCCCTCCGGCAGCGCCTGGACTTGAGGGCAAGTGGTCCACTGTGCACTCACCCGCCCTACCGTGGCTTCCACTGAGTATCTCTCGAATGCAGATAATAATCCTCAGCCCACAGTGTTGTTGAGAGGATAAATGAGATATCAGGAAACGGCTTAACACCATGCCTATCATGGCTACGGTTGTTGTTATTTTTACCTGACATTTCCCTAAATTACTGGGCCCTCTGTCTGCCTTCCTTGTGTCTCTGTCCCTGTTCTCTCTCTCCCTCCCCCAGCCTCACTCCTACGCTGCCCCAGGTCCGCTTATCTGCCTGCCCTATGATCTACGCCAGGCAGGCGAGGACTGGCAAGGTTTGGGGTTCCTTCCGCTGGAATGCCCTTCCTTCCATCTCTTCCCACCTCCGCCTTCACCTCCTCCAGAAAGCCGTCCTGACTGCCCTCTGGATGAGGACCCTTGAGTGGGCTGTGTCCCCAGTACTGCCTTGGAATTCCTATCAGTAAAAAGGCCCTTCTTTTTCTCTCCCCAGAGTGTCTTAAAATTGAAGAACCTGAGGGACCCTTAAGTCCTCCTACTGATATCTGCGCCCCCGCCCCCGGCCCCCCAGCTGCATCCACCCATCCCTCACACATCTTCCCAAAACTGGGAACAGCAGGGCCCGGAGACCACAAGATGTAGGCCACAGGCCACTTCCCCAGGTGGACAGGCCAGATAACCCAGTCCATTTCTGGGGCCCCAGGAAGTGTTCTGCTGAGATATGGGTGACTTACGGGTCCCAGAGGGCTGGGGTGGCCTGAAGATCCCCTGCAGGCATGGGTGTTGAGGGGGTTCTGAAGCCCGGAGGTCCGGGGCCTAGGAAGGTAGGAGCAGCCCCTGGCTCCTTGCCTTTCCTGGGCTGGGGGAGGCAGACGGTCCTGTGAGAGCCGGGGAAGTAGCATGGGGACCAGTGAGAAGGTGAAAGACATCTCAGGACGCAGGTCCCACCTGAAACTGGGACCCTCTCTACAGCATTCAAGAGCACAGGAAGGCCACAGGGGTGGCGCCAACCTGTAATCCTAGCACTCTGGCAGCCTGAGGCAGGAGGATCTTGAGTTCAAACCCAGCCTGAGCAGCTTAGCAACTCAGCAAGGCCTTGTGTCAGAAGAAAAAAGGGAGCTGAGTGCGGTGGTGCACACCTGTAATCCCAGCACTCAGGAGGCTGAGGCAGGAGGATCACCATGAGTTCTAGGCCAGCCTGAGCTACTTTTTGAGACTCTGTCTCAAAAATAATAATAATAATAATAATAATAAAACAAAACAAATATAAAAGGGGCTGGGAATGTAGCTCAGCATGAAGACCCTGGGTTCAATCCCACTACCAGAAAGAAAACTAAAATTACAAATTCCATTAAAAAAAATTCCACTAAACTCAGCTATTTCCTTCTATGTATCTTCCTGAAGGGGTTAAAGACATCATATCACAGTAATGTGTGCACACCCCTGTTTATAGCAGAATTCGTAACAGCTAAGTTTGGGCAGTGGTCTATATGTCCAACAGCAGATGAATGGATGGGGAAAATGTGGTATTTACACACCATGCAACACAACTCTGCCATAAAGTAGTAGCCACATTTTTGTTTGTTGGTTTGTCTTTGTGCTGGGGATATAGGGAAGCACATGCTCTAGCACAGAGCTGCATGCCCCCAGCCCGCAGTTTAAAACATCAAAGAAACAAGTGCAATTAATTTTAGGAATAGACTGTATTTAACCCGACCTACCCAAATGTTCTCGTTTTGACGTGGAACTAATGGGAGGAAATTATCAATGTGGTGTCTTCGACTCTTTGGTTTGTACACAGGTCCTCAGAATCCCCTGTCTTCCCCACTTGTGGCACATTCCAAGTGCTCCGGAGCCACACGAGGCGGGTGGTTACAGTGCTGGGAGTGTGGTTTAAAAGTCAAAAACCCCATGACTCACTTTTCTAACATTCCAGCGTGCTGCTCCTCTGAGATTCCAGAATTCTGCAGTGTCCCGAGGTTCTATAATGCTACAACTGTACTTCCACCAGATGAAATGCGCCCCGAGACTGCGTGAGGAGAAGGCTTTTTCCCCCACGTCTCTGCTGGAAAGAAAGCCGGATCCACGCAGAGCCCGGGGGCGGGTTGCGGCAAGGAGTCTCCCCCTATGGCCCCCACCATCTGCCCCCACACTGTCCCTCCAGCTCCTGTGCCCTCCCTCCCTCCCTAGGGACCAGGCTGGAAGCGACAACTCCAGCTCTGAGTCCTGCAGGGCGGGAGGGGTGTGGCCCTGCCTCTTTCCCTAGGTCTCGTGCACTTTGGGGAGGATCTGGGGGTCGCTGGGCAGATGGAGCTGGGGAGTTCAACCTCCAGATGGACTCTCCCGAGGGTGGGACTGGTCTCCATTTGCTCCAGGCTGGAGCCTGAAGCCCCAGGAGGGCAGAGGTCAGGGGCCCACGTGGGGCTTGGAAGGCCAGAGGCCACTATGAGGGTGCATGATCCAGGCCTTTCACAGGGCAGATGGACACCAAGACCCAAGAGCAGAGGGCGTTTCCCTGGCGAGGCCCAAGGTGAGTGTTGCACTCTGCCCACAGGGACACCTAGGAGCCACGAGTCTCTTCCTACGAGCACACTCCCTGCCCCACCCCACCTGTGGGGAAAGTCAAGGAGCAAAACTGGTACAGCAGGAAGTCAAGGAGGCTCAGAAGCCAGGAGTGGTGGCGCACGCCTGTAGTTCCAGCACTCAGGAGGCTGAGGCAGGAGGATCGATGCAAGTTTGAGGCCAACCTGGGCTACACAGTGGGTTCAAGGCCAGCCTGAACTGTACATCAAGACCCTGCCTAAAACAACAACAACAACAGCAACAAGGGGGCTGCAGGAAGACCCACGGTGCCACGTCCCAACGTGTGTGTTCTGGGTTTTGGGATGTGCCTGGGTACACTTGTGCTGCTATCATAAAGTTTTACAGACTGGGTAGTTTGGGTGTTTGTTTGTTTTTGGTTTTTGTTGTGGTGGTGGTGGTGGTGGTGCTGGTGGTAGCAGTGGTGGTGGTGCTGGGGATTGAACTGAACTGAACCCAGGGCCTTCACTCTGAGCTATTTCCCCAGTCCTTTTAAATTCTCTTTTTTTTTTTTTTTTTTTTTTTTTTTTTTTTTTTTTTGGTTTTTTCTCCGGTACCGGGAATCGAACTCACGACCTTGTGCTTGCCAGGCAGGCACTTTTGCCACTGAGCTAAATCCCCAGCCCCTCCCCAGCCCTTTTTATTTTTTATTTTGAGACACTAAGTTCTAAGGTAGGACTTGACTTGTTACCATCCTGCCTCAGCCTCTGGAGTGCTGGGATTACAGATGCGCACCACCACACCTGGTTTGGGGGTTGGATTTCAACAGAAGGACCTTGGGAGCACACAAGCATTCAGACCACAGGAGAAGCGTCCTTGTGAGAACCTTGTCCTAGGCTCCCTTGGCCCCAGACCTCAGCTCTGGTGAGGGCTCAGGCACCAGCAGCACTGGGAGAGGCAGGAAGCTGGGGCTGAGTGCTGTGTGGAAAGAGTTTCTGTTAACAAGGGGTCGGCTTCCTCATCTGCTCCCTCACCCGTCCTTGGATCCCACTCTAAAACCCCCGCATAGCTGAGGTCCGCCGGACCCACACAGGCGCCCACGAGCACAGGCAGACCGAGCGCCTGCCATCAGCACACAGCTCCCAGCCCCAGTGCCATGCAGAGGGCCAAGGCCAGAGCTTGTCTCTGCTCCCTCGTTATGGGTGGAGAAGCTCAGCCCAGAGAGGGGCTGTGACTCTGTGTACAGAGCCAAGGGAGGCCGGGTCTACGTCCCCCGAGTCACTGGCTCAGCACCCACCACCCAGGGAAGCCCCTCTGCTCCAGGCTCCCAGATGCTCTGCAGCTGGGCAGACAAAGGTCAGGAGGCGCGGAAGGCACATTTTCCACACGCTGCTTCCAGGCCGGGCTTCCCCTCTGAGGAAAGCCCCAAGGTTGTTCCCCACGGTCAGGAGAACCAGGGAGGAAATGACAAAGATCCTGCGGCAGACGGTGACAGAAAGCAGCTCCATGTTCGGCCTCTAGGGATCTGGCTCTGCCAAATCATCAGTGGGAGAGGGGTGGGGTCCGGAAGAGGGATCTGGAGTCCAGATCTGCAGAACACAGAGCTTGGAGAGAGGGACCTGGACTCGGCACCCAGAGCTGTAGCTGCTCAGGAGCCCTGTGACCCGGCGGCGCCTGTGGCATCCCGGCCCCCTCTGGTAACTGCTCGTGTCTCAGTGGGGAGAATCTGAACGCGTATGACGAGGCGCATGAATAAATGCTAGCACTCACTCCGCTGTCCTGGGGCCTGTCCAGCAGCCCATCAGGTTCCATCTGCCACCTTGGTGCCATGTGCTCTGCAAATGTTCACTGAATAAATGAGTGAGTGAGTGAATGAATGCCGGCAAAAACACAGCAAAATACAGAGACTAGCTTCGAACTAGAGATCTGACAGACCATCAAGCAGCACCTTGCTGGGTGGTTCCTTTTCTATTTTTTTTAATTTAAAAAAAAGGGGCTGAGGATATAGCTCAGTGTCATAAGCACCTGCCTGGCAAGTGCAAGGTCCTGAGTTTGATCCCTGGTACCACAAAAAAAAAAAAACAAAAAAAATTAAAAAAAATTTTTTGGACACAGAGTTTCACTGTGTAGCCCAGGCTGGCCTCAAATTCAAGAGTGATCCTCCTGCCTCAGCCTCCCAAGTGCTGGGACTACAGGTGTTCACCACCACAATGGCTTGGGCAGCCTCATTTTAAAAAGAATATGATTGGGCTGGGGATATAGCTCAGCAGCACAGTGTCTTGCTTGGCAAGCACAAGGTCCTGAGTTCGATTCCAGGTACCAAAAAAAAAAAAAAATGGTTGCACGGCAAATGTGTAATAATTTAAAAAGTGGTGGTACACAATACTGAAAGAAAAAAATAAAATGGTAACAGTAACCTTTCTAAAGCACTGATTATGTGTCAGCTTTGTTAAGAATTTAAGAACTTAGCTGGGCATGGTCGCTCACGCCTGTAATCCCAGCACTTGGGAGGCTGAGGCAGGAGGATTACCATGAGTTTGAGGCCAGCCTGGGCTACACAGTGAGTTCAAGGTCAGCCTGCACTACAAAGTGAGACCTGCCTCAAAAAAAAAGAACTTAAGAGCACTCAGTTCTCCAGGATGCACGATAAGAAGTTTAACTGTTCTCCCCATGTTGCAGATGAGGAAACTGAGGCATGGAAAAGCCAAGTAGCTCTGGGTGTCACTGCAGCACAGCCCAGACTTGGCCCAACTGGCCTGACCCTCACAGCTCACCTTCTGCACTACGACGGCGCTGAGGGATGCTGCCTCCCCTTCCGCTTACTCAGGCGACAGCTCCCACAGGGCTGAGCCCTGCTGCTCAGGCTAGGGCTGCTCCAGGCTTCCCCAGGTCTTGGGAGGCTGCGCAAATCAGCCCTGAGGACCGTGAGGGGGAGATGAAGCGGGCCTTGGGTTGGAGGCTACTTCCTGCCCTAAAGCAAGGCAGGAAGCAAGGCCACAGAGAATTTTGGCTTCAGCTCCTTTGTCCTCCCTCAACTCATCCTCCCACCCAGCCGCCCAGCTTCTGAACCCTTCTCTCTTACCAACCCCAGACGTGAGCTTGAAGCATCACAGAAACACTCTGCCGCAGGGACTGGGTAGAACGGGAGGGCACTTTTCTCTGTGGGTGGGCAGATCTGGAGAAAGCCGAACCCAGATGGGAGGGACGGGGGGTGGGGGGGGTGGGCGATGCAGAGCGACCCACACTGCACAGTGGCGTTGTGCCGCCGTGGCCATCCAGAGGACAGGAGGGTTGGACCGTTCTCACCTCCCTTCAACAGGGGAGAGACCGAGGCCCGGGGGAAGCGCTTGCTCGTGACCGTGCAGGGTCTCGAGGGCAGAGGGACGTGTGTGCCCCAGCCTCCCGAGACTGCAGGGTGATACTAACTGTTATTCTTACCGCAGGTATTTACCAAGCTGACTTGGCCAAGCGCTTTCCTTTCATTACCTTATTTAATCCTCTCAGCAATTAACTGGTGGTTCTCATTTCACAATGAAGAAACTGAGGCTCAGAGAAACAAATCAGCTGCACAAAGTCCACGCAGTCACATCCGAGCCAGAGTGCCAGGCACATCTGCGCTCAGGCCTGTCTGGCTGCAAAGTCTCAGGCCTCCTGGGTGAGGCCGGGCCGCTTCCACCTGGGCCGGAGGCCGCACCCGGTTCTCAAAGCCGAGCCTGGCGCAAGTCTGGCCCCCCGCCAGCTCAGGGTGCTGTTTCAGGCCTGGTGCACACTTAGCAAGAGCTGTGGTTTGGGGGCCACAGAGTGGGACCACATCTGTGGGTGAACGGTCAGCAGCAGCACTGGGTCCAGGCAGTGTGGGCCGAGGCAGCCTCGTCCGTGAGCGCCAACCAGATCACCACCCACTCGGTCACTCCTTTCTTCATTTACTCAAACACTGCCTGGTGGTGCCCTCATATTCCTACACATAGACACACACTTCTTTTGCCAACCTCCCACCCAAAGCCAGCAACATAATTTGCAAGGTACAGTGCAAAATGGAAATGCAGAGTGCTTTGTTCAAAAATTAAGAATTTTAGAGACAGGTGTGGTGGCTCCCAAGTACTGTAATCCCAGTACTCAGGAGGCTGAAGCAGGAGGATCACCGTGAGTTCGAGGCCAGCCTGGGCTACAGAGTGAGTTCAAGGCCAGCCTGAACTATATAGTGAGACCCTGTTTCAAAAAATAAAAAATAAATTAAGAATTTGAGGATGGTTTCACCGGTACATTTCTGCAAGCCCAGTTACTTTAGAGGCTGACAGAGGGGGGCTGCAAATTTGAGCTATCCCAGGCAACAGTGAGACGTCTCAACATAATAATTAAAAAAAAAATAAGGGCTGAGACTGTAGCTCAGTGATAGAGCGCCCCTGTGTTGGATCTCCAATGCCACCACAAATAAATAAATTTTTAAAATGAAAAAGAATTTCAGGACCGCAAGAGCACAGGACCTGTGTAACTGCAGTGGCCGCTCAGGGCCCCAGCTCTGCGGCCGCCCCCTTGGCCTCCAGCTACCCGCTTCCTCTCCACTCTCCTTCCGCACCCTCACTCAGCCTGGCTCCGCCTCAGGGCTTTGGCCAGGGCTATTCTTCCCGTCTAGAAGTTTCCCAGCTTTTCCTCCATCGTTCACGGCTCTGCCCAAACATCACCTGCCTGGCCCCCCAAGCTAAAGCAGCCATCCACAGCATGCTTCATTAAAACGCTTCATTCCCTTCAAGCGGGGGGACGGGGGACTGTGACCTGTGACCTTCTGTGCATCCGTGGGTTTATGGGTTAATCCCATCTTCCCCACTAGAGTGTCATCTCTGGGGGAATGGGCTCCCCGCCTGTGCTGTTTGGCATCTACAGCTTGCAGCACAGTGTTATGTTCAGCAGCTGTAAGACAGTGAGTGAGTGAGTGAGTGAACGAATGAATGGGCACAGACACCCAACAACACACACCCTCCCACCCCTGCACGGCAGACAGCGCGGGCATGTTTCCCAGTGCAGGCTCCCAAGACACCCCGGTGCAGACGGTCGGGAGACCGAGAGGTAGGCAGGTCCCAAGGCCTCGAAAGAGGAAAGAACGGGCAAGGTTGAGAGAAAAAGAAAGGAGCGGGAGGAGGAAAAAGCGGGGAGAGGCCAGCAGGAAGTCAGGAGAGGCTGTCGAGGAAGGGGAGAGCACGTTGAGCTCAGTGATAATCCCATCTCTTCGCTTTATTAGCGAAACTAATTATTACTATTAATACCTGGCCCCTCCCCGGCCCTTTCATCCCAGCTGGTGGGGAGGTTTGGAGATGAAACACAGGGGGCCCTCAAATGCAGTTTCCTGGGCTTCACAACCACCAATTAAGCCTGGCAGCCCCTCCAATTATCCCGGGCCCAGGGACACGGGCCTCCTGCCTCAGTGGCTTTCCAGGTGGGAGCGGCAGGTGGCCGCTGCCAAGCTTGGCCCTCCCTCTGGGAGTGATGCTGAGTCGCTGCCACGGGGGGTGGGGCTGGCAGCCGAGGTCGAAGGGGGAGGTGGCAGAAAGAGGAACCCACGCCAGGTGGCTGCTGCTCAGGAGCCCTGCCCCCAGCTGAAATTACACCCCAACCCTCAGGCTGCCCCCCGGCACCCGCGCGAGGGTCTGTGAGGCTCTGGACCCTGCCAGATGGCACAGGGAAGGGGGCTTCTGGGAAAGGCGGCTCTAAGCAGACAGAGAGCCAGTAGGTCCGGCTCCTCTTCAATGCCCCAGGGTCACCCTGGTCCAGGTCCCGGTCTGCTCCATCCTCCAGCCCTCAGAGGCCTCTTCTCTCCAGCAGCCTGGGCCACTGCCGCCCAGCTCGTCCCGCATAGCTGCAGGGATGGGCCTCACCACCTCCCATGCTTGAGCTGCCCACACTGTGGGGGGTTTGAAGCCATCTCATCTAATCCCTCGGCATTAAATATAATCTAGAGGTTTCTGGAGTGACATCAGCAGCCCTAATATTTCCAGTGAGCCCCAGCTGCTAGTCCCATCTTTCCGCTAGGATGTAACACTGACTCAAAAACTCACAGGGCCTGAGCTTGACTCCAACTTGCACCCAAGTCATGACCTGCCCCAGGCTGCCCCAGCTCGGTAAATAGTTCCGTTGTCTACTGTGGCTCATGTCTGAATCTGGAATCATTCCCACCCATGTCCAACTCCTCGGAAAATGCTACACACCCTGCTTCCAAAGTCCCCCTCAAACCTATTCCCAAATCTTGTTTCGGTTTTTTGAGATCGGGTCTTGACTGCAGTCCAGGCTGGCCTTGAACTTGAGGTGATCCTCCTGCCCCAGCCTCTCAGGTATGTGTGCACCACCAAACCTGGCTTCAGATCTGGTTACCGTTCTCCACCCGCACAGGTGCCATCTTGGCCCAGCCACTATCGCCTCTCACATGCGCAAGCACTCCCCTCCCTATTTCTGCACATCTTTTCTTTTATTTGGGGTGGGGGTTGACACAGGGTCTCACTATGTAGTCCTAGCTGGCCTTAAACTCACTTCGGCCTAGGCTGGCCTCAAAGTCATAGTGTCAGTCTTGCCTCAGCCTTCTGAGTGCTGAGACTAAAGGGCCCCCCATTAGCGTCATCTTTAAAAGTTCACTCTGCTTTTGTTTGGAGAGCCAGCAGAAGATGAGCAGGAAGCAGAGTGAGGTGGGCCACACCTGTAATCCCAGCACTCAAGAGGCTGAGGCAGGAGGATCGCTTCAAGTTCAGAGCCAGCCTGGGCTACACAGCAAAACCCTGCCTCCGAAAACCAAGAACAAGCAAAAGAATTTACACCGACAATAAAGTAATCTGAGTCTGGGGGCTGTGCTAAAGCACAAAGGGAGAGTGCGTACACCAAGGCCTTGCTCACATCGCAGCCCTGCCCAGGGGGAGGTCCTAACTGAAGACGCGCGTGCACGGACACATACATACACACAGCTACCCCACGCCCTCCCCGCACACGCAGGCCCCAGCTCCAGCCCCGGGCGGGCGGGTCCCCTCTCGGCAGCGCGGGCGCCGGCGCCATCTAGCGGCCGTCCTGCGCCAGCGGCGTCCTGCTCCCCTGGGCTCCTCTCGCGCGTGGAGCCGCTGCCGCGGACCCGCCCCGGCCGAGCTGGGCCCCAGAGGTCGAGGGGCGCCGGACTCGGCCAGACCCCTGCGGTCTGTGGTCTCGCTTGCCCTCCCTGCCGAGCTCGGCCGGCTGCTCCTCCTGGAGTCCCCGCGCGGCCGCCTCCCCCATGCAGGGCTCCGGAGAGCGCGCAGGGCGCCGCCTGCGCCGGCCGCTCGGGACCGCAGGTCGCGCGCCTGGTTTGACCCCACCCCCACGCAGGCCGCTCGGGCGCGCAGACCCACGCCCGGCTCCGGGACAGGCCGCAGCCGGCGCCGCCAGTGTCCTGGCTCGGTCACGGGGAACAACCCACCCTCCCGGGCCCACGGCTTCCCCTCTGCACCCTTCCGTCTCTGCCCTTTGCAAAACTACCTTCCACGGAGCAAACAGCCTGCGGGCAAGGACAGCAGGGACTGTGCCCGAGAGGGCAGACGGGCTCCCTGTTGGGCGCTGGGTGCAGCACAGCGGTGTCCAGCTGGCGGGTGTTTAGAAGCCCTCGGATCTGAGGCGAAAAGCATCGGAGCTCCGCAGTCAGCTTCCTTGGCCCCGACCCGCGCGCCCGGTTTCGGCGGCGCACCCAAATGTCAGCCGCGTGCAGTGACTGATCTGGTCCCGCTCTGATCCACCGCCCACCCCTGGGCCTCCCTCTTGGCCGCCATTGTGCAGCCTGTGGGGCCCTGGCAGTGCACCCCATCTCTCGCGCACCCTCCTCTCCTGGGCCCCCAAGGCCTTCCTCTGTTCCCAGGAACTCCAGGACTGCGCTGCGGAACCCCTTTCCCAGCCTCCTGCACGGCCGGCCTTGTGCTAGGAGCCTGGCTCTCCCTGCTGGGGTGCTGGCCCTGGCCGGCTTCTCAGTGGGTTTTCCTCTTCCTTCCACAACCCCTGAAGCGAGGGGAGGCAGAGGGGAAGGGAGAAGCGGAGGAAGCAGGATGCTGCCCCCCACCCCCCTACACACACACTCATTACTGCTCAGGCACCCGCCCTCCCCCTGCGGAAGCCCCGCTTTAGTTTCAGGTCCCCTCACCAGCGCAGGGTGAGGTGGCCCAAGCCCTGGGTCACACCCTAGCCTTGCTGAAGGCTCTGCCCTGGGCTCCTGCGCCATCCATCTGTTAGGGTTCTAGCTCTTGGTCACTTCAGGGTTCATAAGGACGACGCTTCCAACACCCCAGCCTCCCGTCCCCGGACCTCATCTGTCTCGTCTTCCTGCCTGTCTTGGCCCCTCACTGGCCCTCACCCCGACACTTGCTGCTTCTGCTGCCCAGCGTGAGTGCCCCGCTCGTGCTCAGTCGTCTTTGTCTTTCCCTTGCGCTCACCCTCAATTCCTTTCAAACTTACACCTGCGGCCATGGAGCTGAACGTAGAGCAGCTCCGCCCCCGAGGGAACCTTCACTGCTCCCCATGGAGCTCCGTGTCAAGCTTGTCTCACCTCAGATCTTCAGCTTCTCCCCTACTCTCGGTCTTACAGCTGGCTGCTGCCTACTTCCCTGCTGAAAACTCCTTCAAAAACATTTCACATGTGTGGCCAGGTGTGGTGGTGCACACATGTAATCCCAGCACTCGGGAGACTGAGGCAGGAGCATTGCTCAGAATTCAAAGCCAGTCACCCCGCCCAAGCCCAGGTCCTTGTACACGAGGAGGTGCCTGGCCACTGAGCTACACCCAAGGCCTGTCCCTGCTCACAGTCCTTAGAGCACTGCTGTTTACACCCAGACCCTCGGTGGCCACAGTCTCATGACCGCTTGGGAGTCTATACGCCAAGGACTCCCAAATGTACACCCCAGCACAGACCCACGCCTAAATCCCAGGTTCATCTGTCCCAACACCCTCCTGGATGTCTTCACTTGGATGTACTGGTCAGCTTGCCTCTTGCTGGGTAAAATGCCTGACAAACACAACTTAAAGGAGGGCTCTGTTGGGCTCACCGTTTCAGGAGTCTCAGTACATGGTTTCTGGCTCCAAGGAAGAAACACCCTGGGCGAGGGTGTGGTGCAGCAAAGCAGCTTGCTTCATGGTGGCCACGGAGCACAGCCTCCTGTGAGAAAAGAGCTCACAGGAGAGACAGGCCCTGCAAGGCACGCCCCAGTGACCACCCCACCTGAGCCCCAGCTTCTAGCAGCACATTCCAGTGGATGAATCCAGTGGTGAGAGCGGTACCCCACGGCCCACCCACCTTCCCAGGGGGCTCCTAATCCACTCAAATTGACGTAAACTCAGGCATCACAATGTGTAATAAAAACCCACTCTCAGGCCTGAGACTGAACACCTGATTCCTCTAGAAGTGTGCTCCACCTCAGCCACCCCAGTCCCCATGGCTGGGCAACTTCATCCTTTCATGTGCTTTGGCCCTAAATGCCGGAGTCTCCCTGTCAGCTCTCTTCTTCCACGTGCTACCTCTGCCCTATAGGAAAGTTGGATTGATCCCTTTTTATGTTTTGTTTCTGTTAAGAAAAGGTCTCACTATGCACTATGCAGCCCAGACTGGCCTTGAACTCACAGGGATCCTCCTGCCTCAGCCTCCCCTGTGCTGGGACGACAGGCATGTGCCACCGCCCCTGGGTTTTCCCCGAGTTTATTGCCAGAGCCTCCTCGCTGTGATTGCTGCTTCCACTCGGCCCCTTCCCCCCACCGCTGAGTCTCCTGCACTGAGCCCCGTGGGGAGCTGAGAATAGAAGACAGATTCTGGGCATCCTTGGCCCGAAGCCTGCAGTGCTCCCTCGGAGTAGAAGGAGCCGTGAGCTCTGCCCTGTCCCATGACCGCTGGTCCTCACACCACCGGCCCTGCTGCTCAGAGCAGACACCAGGCCCCCTCTGCCCGTGAGCGCTGGCCCCTGCTAGTGCACCTGCCTGCACCAAACTCCCAGAAATGCTGCCAGGGCTTCCGCTCTCCCCTTACCAAGCCTGGGGCCACTGCTGCCCAAGCTCCCACCTCTCCTTTTAATTCTGCCGCCCCACCCCTCCTTCCAGCTCCCAAGAGTTTTCACCCTGCCTGTTACTTTCTTCCATGGTACTGATCATGTTGTAACTTAATAAAGGCCAGGCATGGTGGTGCACATCTGTGATCCCAACACTGGGAGGCTGAGGCAGGAGGATCGCCTTGACTTCAATGTCAGTCTGAACTACACAGCAAGACCTTGTGTCAAAACAAAACAAAACAGAAAGAAAAAGAAGCAAGTCTTACTCTGTTGCCCAGGTTAGCCCCAAACTCCAGGGCTTAAGCAATCCTCCTGCCTCAGTCTCCAGAGTAGCTGGGACTATAGGCATGTGCCACCATACACATGACAAACAATTATTATTATTTTTATTCTTTTTTGGCAGAGCTGGAGATGGGCCTCAAGGTCTCCCATATACTAGGCAAGCACAGTCCCACTGAGCCACATCTCCAGCCCCAAGTGTGTCCTACTTTTTTTCTTGCCAAATGTATTTTTTCTTTTTCTTTTTTTTTTTTTTTTGAGACAGGGTCTCGCTGTGTAGTTCATTTCAGGCTTGCCTTGAATTCACTATGTAGCCCAGGTTGGCTTCATCATAGCAATCCTCCTTCCTCAGCCTCTGGAGTCCTTGGATTACGGGCATGTGCCACTATATCCAGTAGTAACTGTAATTTTTTTAAAAATACTACTGTTATCAGGTAGCTTGCTTCTAAAAAGCAGCTCGCCAACTAAACATTATGGGGTTTAGGACTGCTTGCTTCTCCTTCTGGAGTTGGATTCCAGGTTCTTCTAGTCTCAAACAAAGAATTGAATGAAAGGAGCAAAAAGCAGTGGCAAAGTTGATTTGAGAAAGTAAAAAGGGAAGAGTGGGAGGGAAACTTGCACTGTAGAGTGAGCTGGGGAGGAGTGAAGCGGAAAAGGGGCTGACAGCCAAGGTTAAAGCATTCGCTGTGGCTGGGAACAGTGCAGGATACTGTGGAAAGCTACATGGCACTTGCTCCTCCTGGCTGCCTTGCTTTTATGTTGCCCAAATCTTGAGGACACCTGGGAACTACATCCTGAGAGGTGGGTCTCGAGAGGCGGTGCTGGGATCCCACACCTCAGGCTGACGTCAGGTCCGGGCCGTCAGGTCCGGGCTGTCCTGTTGAAAACCTGCCCGAGTTCTCTAAAGAATACGGGTGCAGGGCACTGGGGACTGTTCTGCGCATGAGTCAGGGATCTGGCAGTTAACAGGCCATGTCTACTTCCCCAGCCAGTTTTGCCATACCCTAACCTCCTATCTTAGTACTGAGGATTGAATTGAGGGTTTCATGCTTGCTGGGGAGCACTGCTACCACTGAGCTACATGCATCTTGGTCTTTTAACATTTTTTTTTTTTCTATTTTGAGGCAAGATTTTGCTGCGTTGCTCTAGCTGGCCTTGAACCTGCCATCCTCCTTTTCTTTTCTTTCCTCCTTCCTTCCTTTGTTCCTTCCTTCCTTCTTTTTTGAGACAGAGTGTCACTATATAGTTGAGGCTAGACTTCAACTCACTATGTAGCCCAGGTTAGCACAGAACTGGTGGTGAACCTCCTGCCTCAGCCTCCCCAGTGCTGGGATTAGAAGTATGCGCTCATCTGAACTTTATTTTTCACTAATTCAAAAAAAATTAATGGGTTTCGTTTTGGCAGATTTATATATGCATGTAACATACTTTAGTCATTTTCATCTCCCATCACCCCCTTTCCCTGTTCCCCCAGTTTCACATTTTTGGGGCTTCAGTGTGTTTATGTATTTTGCTCACACCAGCCCTCCTGTAGCCGCCCTCACACTCCTTCCTCTCTTTCCTCATCTTTTGTAGCCTCCACATATCAGCAAGAGCGTCCAAGATTTGTCTTTCTGAGTCTGGCTTATTTCCCTCAATGTGGTGGCCTTCAGAGCTACCCATTTTCTTGCAGATGACAGAATTTCATTCTTGGCCACTGTGAACTGTGCTGTAATAAACATGGCATGCCTGTATCCCTGCAGTATGCCGACATTAATGGCTTCAGCTATAATCCAATCAGTGGTATAGCTGGATCAAATGGTAGCTCTACTTTTAGATTTTGAAGAACTTTTATAGTGATTTCCATAGTGATTGTACTACTTCACATTCCCACCAGCAGTGTCGAAGGGCTCCTTTCCCCTCAACATCCTTTCCAACTTTTTTCCTTTTTTTTTTTTGAGATAGCTTCTTGCTCTGTAATTCAGGCTGGCCTCAAACTCGTTGCAATGCTCCTGCCTCAGCCTCCTAAGTGCTGGGACCACAGAGGTGTGCTACCATGCCCAGCATTTTTTTATTTTTCTTTTTTGAGGCAGGGTCTTGCTATGTGGTCCAGGCTGGCCTTGAATCCTCACAGCAATCCTCCTGCCTCAGCCTCTCAAGTGCTGGGATCACTTGCGTGTACCACAATACCTGGGACTTTTTGTACACTTGCTGACTGTCTTAGTTACTTTTCTTGTTGCTGAGACAAAATACCCAACACACCCAAAGTTAGAGGAGGAAAGGTATTTTGGTCCACAGTTTGTAGAGTTTCAGTCTACCATTGGTTGGCTCCAGTGAAGGGTGGCACAGCAGACAGGCACTGCAGATGAGAAACAATTCATGGCAGGCAGAAGGCAGCAAAGCAGCAAAACAGTGAAGTAGGAGAAAGCAAATGATGATCCACTTTCTGTCCCTTATACTCCATCCAGGATACCTGCCCTGAGAGCAGGCAACACTCACACGCAGGGTGGGGCAGCCTTAATCCTACCCAGAGCTATGCCAAACCAATCAGTGGACTAATTTAGTAATCACACACCCTGATCACACCATTACACACTCTAGATTCACGCACCTCTGAAAAGATCCACCTATGACTGCATGAGGCTTTGAGGGGACACAAGCCATAACAACGATAGCCATTCTAACTGGGGTGAGATGGAATCTCAATGTAGTTTTGATTTGCATTTCCCTTGTGGATTTTATATTTAAAATAATAAAATTTAAAACTAAAGTTGTTTAGCCAGGCATAGTGGCAGCATCTATAATCCCAGCACTGAAGGCAGAGGCAGTTCAAGGCCAGCCTGGGCTACATAAGGCATTCAAGGCTAGTCGTTCACATGGTGAAACCCTGTCTCAAAAAACCAAAAATAAAATAAAATAAGAAGAATTTAGGGCTTTCGCACTGAACTGCATTCCCAACCCATTTTTGAGACAGCATCTCTTGCTGGGGATATAGCTCAGTGGCACAAGTGCCTGCCTGGCAAGCACGAGGTCCTGAGTTCAATTCCCGGTACCAAAAAATAAAATAAAATAAACAAAAGATTAAAAAAAAGACAGACAGCATCTCACTAAGTCATCCAGTCTGTTTTTTGGTTGTTTTTTTTGTTTTTGTTCTTTTTGTTGTTGTTGCTGTTTTTTTTCCGATACTGGGAATTGAACTCACAACCTTACACTTGCCAGGCAGGCACTGCGCCACTGAGCTAAATCCCCAGCCCCCAAGTCATCCAGTCTGGGCTCGAACCTGATTCTTCATCTCCCAGGTACTAGGATTATAGGTGTGTACCACCATGCCCAGCTGATACTACATTTCTTAAAAGAAAAACTTCATTAAGCTGATGCCTATTACAGTCATATCAATTCTAGGACACAAGCCAAGTGTGGTGGTACACGCCTGTAATCCCAGCACATAGGAGGCTGAAGCAGGAAGAATGCCTTGAGTTCAAGGCCAGCCTGAACTACACAGCAAGACCCTTTCTAAAAGAAAAAATTCTAGGATACAAGAGCTATTTATTAAAATTTTATTATTTATTTACTTTTTTAAAAAGTATGGAAAGCCAGGCATGGTGGCACACGCCTGTAATCCCAGCACTTG